ATGGTGTTGCTCTGGGATTCATCATGAGAGAGCAACGCGAGGTTGCTACCGCAAAACCCGTGTCTCCGGGGGAGACACCGCGGAAGGAATCCCTGAAGCTACGTGTCAGTAACTACATGGGCAGAGAAGGTGAGACCCTTCTCTGCTGGCTTGTCGAACTCGACACTGCCGTAATGGCTCGACGAATCGCCGACCCACTGGTCAAAGTGGCCTTCGCCATGTCTTGTCTTGGCGGACGCGCGAGGGGTTGGGCCTACGGGTGCCGACTCACAGATCCTACGTGCTTCAGCACGTACGAGTCTTTTAAGGAAGAGCTCAAACTCGCGTTTGAGCCCCCACAAAACGAGTTCCGGTCGAGAGCAGAGTTTCTCGACCTGCAGCAGGGTAAGCATGACGACGTACATGCTTACGCCCAACAGGCTCGGTACCTGGTCTCGAACGCCGTGACCGACCCGATGGACGAGGCGACCAAGGTCGTCACGTTAATGAAGGGGTTGAGAGATGGGCCTGTAAAGACCTATCTCTTCCGAGGGTACCCGAGTACTCTCGAAGCTGCGATTACTCTCGCAATGCAAGAGAAGTTTAGCCTGCTCCAGGCTAAACTGCACACGAACGTGCCACGCCCGCCTCGGCCGGTTGCGAAGACGGAATGTCCAGAACCAATGGATCTTTCGTATGCATCTGCTGTTGGACAGCAGAAGAGCAAGGGAAGCAACGTGCGATGCTTCCGGTGCGGAAACATGGGTCACTTCGCACGTGAGTGTACGGCACCGGTACACTCAAGCCAAGGTCGACGTGGCGAGACCGGGTATCGTCATCGAACAAAAAAACGCAAAGGACCAGTAGGCGCGGGGCGCCCTACTTGTAGTGCAGTCACGCGTGTCTACAACGGACGCGGAATTGAGGACTGCAGCCCCCAGTGAGGGGGAATCTCACTGGAAAATACAAGATGACATGCCAAACCTTGTCATCTTGAAGGTGAAGTCGATGACGAAGAGAGCGGACTCTCTTCGGGTGTTAGTGTACTCGGGCGCGTCGAATAACTATGTTCGACAGCAGAGTCTGCCGTTGTTGGACTTTGAGGAGAAGCATGTGCCTCGAAGTCAGCTGGAAGTACGATTGGCAACGGGTGCCATCGTGAAGACAGAGACGCGCGTGATTCGCGCACGCTTCTCGTACAGACACCAGGTGTTTGTAGAAGGTCTTCACGTCCTGGACTTGGACGACAAGTTCGACATGGTTCTGGGCATGCCGTGGCTTGCACGGCATCGCTGTCTCCGGGAGTCGTTGACAGTAAAAGAGTGTCTGGTCACGAACCAGACACTACTAGAATGTTCTCCGCCGCAAGGCGACGAGGTGACAACAGCGTGTCGATTCGGGGAGTCGACACGCGCTCGATATCAAAATCGAGAACGTGCTCCGCCGTGAGGCGTCGAGGTCAGCGCTAAGAGTTGCGACACACTGCTCCTCTGAAAGGCGTAGAGGTGACGACAAAGCATCGACTCCGAGAATCGATGCGACAAGTTGTGCGGACGGTTGCAAACGTCCAGCACTAAAACGTGCGTGCTGTCGTGCAGCCGGGTTGCACGAAGCAGGGCGCGATCAAGCCGGGCTTGATGACGTGTGCCCGCGGGTACAAGAACCCGCCGGCGGTATCACGGAACGTTCGTCCATAGCTGGGCCTGGACGAAACGCAAGTGAATCAGGGATTCACAAGAAGAAGCGACGGCGCAGACACAAGACGCTGCGCAAGTCTCGGTCAGGGACCGAGACTCTTCATGGTGTGTCTGCCGGGCAGACACAAGTACCAACAGCGGCCGTCGAGATGTTAAACGTCTTGACGCGAGCTTGTACTGGGTATCAGTACGAGAAGAGGGAGTTGGAGAACCCTCCGACTGATGCGTCGGAGTTGATCTCGCTTCCAGTCATGAGCTGGAAGCGCTTTGCAAGGACCTGTACGATGGACGCATCGAACAGCTATGCATTCTGTCGGAACGCGAAAGAATGACAAGCGAAGCGGAAGAGTTGATGCAACTCTTTGCTAGAAGCGGCCCCGAG